CCAACCATTAACCTGACGTTACCAAGTCCACCACTAAACCAGTTGGGGGTAGAATAATAATTTCGTGTTTCCTGGCTTGGTGACTGGATTATTTTTAATAAAAGTAAAAACTAGGAATCAGAGCCCCTGCTCCTTGTTAAACCTTTCCTGGCAGATCTCGATTTCTCTCAGCTATTTTCTCCTCGTGGGATTCTCTCGCTGCCCTCCGACATGACACTTTCCTTGGGGGTTTCTTTCTGCTTGGGTTTCTCAGTCTCATCTCTCCATCTGCTCTGCTCACCATTAACCCAAGAGGCAGGCTGTTGCAGCCTAGCGCCCCTTTGCTATAGGCCTGCTTACCTTGTTCTTGGGGCTGCTTTTACCGTTGCTTGCTTTTATTCTGTCTTAGAAATCTATACGCAAAACCATGCACTCCTGAAGTAAATCTCTGCTCATCCAGTCTAGGTTTGTGATAAAAGAAAGGCAGCACCGAGCCTAGAGATTCTTTAGGGCAGAGCTTTTATGACAGCGAGTCCCCAAATATGGTTGTGAGCCCTAATGTGCCAAAGGCTGAGCAACACTGATGTATAAAGCATAATTTTAAACCAGTGTTCTACTTGCCGTGTGTGAGCATCTGTAATTTTTTTTGACTGAAAACTGCTCCGCAGCAGTTCCTAGGCTTTGTGGGATCTTGCAGATTGTAGTGTGTCGCTGCTGTTTGATTTTTTTGGGGGACTGGGTTGTATTTCAGGGTTGCAAAGTTTTGTCTCTGTTGAATTAGGATGCTAATCAGGAATTCTGTTACAATAAGGATTGTTGTTTTTCACTGACGCTGTTCTATGAATATGCTTTCTTATAGTGGCTGTGGTATTTATACTGTAAACTCTTAATTTAGAACTGGTCGTATATCAAGTGTGTGCGACTGAGAGGGTATCTTTGATGAGCTGTCAGTACCACCATTTCAGTCTTGGACTTCTTTGTAAGATCAGATTAAAGTTATATTTGTGCTTTAATATTTTTTTTTCTATGTGCTTTAGGTCAGAATGTGAAACGTGAGTCTGGAAGAAAAGTCCAGACTGGAAACATCACTGCTGCTAAGGTACCGTGTTCTCATATCAGGCTATTTTGATTTTTTCTTCTTTTTCTTTTTTTAGTGTGTGTGTGTGTGTGTGCACACGTGTATATATATGTGTATTTATGTATTTAAGAGGGAAAACTGGATCTGAAGCGTGTTTTCTCTAGTCTCTGTGAATCCAGAGTACAAGCAGCATAGAAAATGAATTTTTGGTGTTAATAGGTGCAATGTAACTGAACATGGAGGGGTTTAACCCACCAAACCCTCTTTCTCTGCAAAATCCGACAGTGTATAAGTTTTGACATCCGATTTAGATAGTAATTTAGTGCGGTGCCAGTGCTCTTCTAAGCCCTGTGTTCTCATTCTCACACAGTTCTTAACTTCTGCTACATCTGAGCAACTGCAGAGTCATTGGGTCACTTACATGTTGCAGTGGCTGCTTGTTTCATACAGGCTATGGTTTTTTTAGACTTTTTTTGTGCCCTCCTGTGTTGCCTCATTTCTTTTGTTCCTCCTAGACCATTGCTGACATTATCCGAACATGTTTAGGACCAAGAGCTATGATGAAGGTACGAACTTTTGTGGGAATACCCTGTGCTCCATACTGACTAGAAACACTACAGATATTATAGATCAGTGCAAATATGGTTTCTCTTTCGGTTGCAGATGCTTTTGGACCCCATGGGTGGGATTGTGATGACCAATGATGGCAATGCTATTCTTAGAGAAGTAAGTTTCTCCAAAAGGATTGTCTCGCTTAACACGTGAGTTGGAATCTTCCAGGATACAGTTACGTAGCTGCCCGTGGAACTATGTTATTTCATCTTCTGTCTTGAGAGTGGGCAAATACTAAACAGCAGTACCAAGAAGGGTGCTTACTGGGGAGGAATGAAATCTTTCTGGCAAATGCTTTTTCTCCTCAGAAAACTAGGCTTGATCCCAGGGTGGTAAGTTTTCACGGAGGTTTTACAAGACCGGTGTAAATTCTGTGGTAATTGTAGCTATAATCACTTGCATCAAAACCTTATGAGTAGATGCTTGCTTTTACAATGCCAGATAATTAGACTGAGAAATCATTATCGTGTTTCTGGTGCAAGTGCTTTTGAAATAACAGCACAAAAATCGTAATGCCTGAAAAACTGTGGGAGACACAATATTGTGAAATACAAGGGCTTCTTTTTGGTCTCAAAAAGGAAAAAGAATCTCTGCCGTAGTTGGACAGAGTGCCTTTGCTTGTTTAAAAGGTGTGGTATTTGTTCCATTGAGCGATGCAAGAAGCTTCACCTTTAGCATTCTGGAACAAAACCATACCCCTTGCTCCTGTACAGATTCAAGTCCAGCATCCAGCTGCAAAATCAATGATAGAGATCAGCCGTACTCAAGATGAAGAAGTTGGAGATGGAACGACATCTGTAATTATCCTTGGTAAGGAGGGTGACTAAGACATACTTTTTATAAAGGGTTAAGGCTGAAATTTGCCCATCAGACCCCAGTAAGTATGCCTTAATGAGACAGATATTCATTATTTACCAACCATAAAATTGATCCTTTTTTTTTTTTTTACCATGGAAGAGAATGCTAGGTTCACTAGACCCTTAGGTGATCAGCTCCATGCTTTGGAAAGTCGTGTTCTTTCCCTGAGATAAGCACAGTTAAGTATAAAGAAAGGTATAGGTGACATTAGAACTCTCTACATGGATAGCAGATATTTTGCATGGTATGCTGTTCTCCTGCCTCGACTGTTGATTGCTCTATTAACTTCCCTGTGGAATTTTGATGGGTTTTGGTTTGGTTTTTTTTTAGCTGGAGAGATGCTCTCTGTTGCCGAACACTTCCTTGAACAGCAGATGCATCCAACTGTGATCATTGGGGCTTATCGTAAGGCTCTGGATGACATGATCGGTATTCTAAAGAAAATTGGGTGAGTATGGGCTGGTGGGAGTTAGAGAGAAGGGATATGGGGTTTCTGTACTGCTTAAAGATGATTCTTCAGGGAGTCGTGTTAGTAAAATAGAACTTAATATAATTGGAGAGGGACTCAGTGTGATTACAAATAGATTGCAGCCTGGAGTAATACTCAGTTTACTTTTTCCTTTGTGTCAGCACTCCAGTGGACGTGAACAACAAAGAGATGATGCTTAAAATAATAAAGAGTGCTATAAATACCAAGGCAATAAACCGCTGGTCCGACTTGGCCTGTAGCATTGCTCTTGATGCTGTTAAGACTGTGGAGTTTGAAGAAAATGGCAGAAAGGAAATTGATATTAAAAAATATGCAAAAGTAGAAAAGGTGAGTGTGTCCTGAACCATTTCTTACCTGTGTGCCCCTTTCTCATTGTGAACCAGTTGTTCCTAGGATGCAGTGGGAAGAATTTTGTGCTACTGATCCACAGTCTGCAAATAAAACCCTTTAGTCAGTGCTATCAGCCATGCTGGTTCACAGTGAAAACAGGGGCAGTTATTTCAACTCTCTCAGAATATTTGCCAAAAAGGTCATTTAAGTTGTTTCCGTTTCCATCTTCCAAACACACGTTGCCAGGCAATAGGGTGTGAGCAGTTTCTCAAGTTCTGCTGTGGCTTTTCACTTAATTTAAGTCAGCGTGCTCTTAAAACTAACTCAGATTGTGACCTGGGTGCATCGTGGTTACTTGGGAGAGTTTTCCTTTTTCAGTACATGGGATGGATAGTTTCAGGAGCACAGGTATACAGTTTTTTGTAGAGTAGACTGTCTTGCCTCATTTTCCCCCTTTCTTGTGTCTGTCAGATTCCAGGTGGTTTTAGCGAAGACTCATGTGTTTTGCGTGGGATCATGGTGAATAAAGATGTCACTCATCCCAGGATGCGTCGCCTTATTAAGAATCCGCGCATTGTCCTTCTGGATTGTTCGCTAGAGTACAAGAAAGGAGAGAGCCAGGTAAAGCAAGTCCTATTAGAGATGTCCTAAATCAAATGTTGTGGACTAGTAAAGAGGAACAAATCCAGACAGCTGGTTAAAAGCCTGAGTGGCAAAAGGCGCTCTTCATGTTCTGCCTTTCAGAGACCTTTTGCGTATACCGGCTAATTCTGCTGCGGGGTCAGTACCCTGGAGAAAAAGGTAGAAAAATAGAACTCAGGCTACGGTGCGTTTACTCACTGAAGCAGCTACAGTGAGTTGTGTATCTTAAGTGATGGTCAAGAGTCAAAGAAATATTTCTGTGCTTTAATTAACGCTCATGTTAAACTGACAGTGTCACAGTTGATTTGATTGGTGTTTTTCATTGTGTAGTTCTCATTCACTCTTCCCCAGGCAATATTGGAGGAGTTAAGGATTCAAGCCAGGGGATCTGTGTCTAACTCGGTGCAGGGTTGGGAGGAATACAGTGAGATATTTACACCTCTTTCTGTGCAGACTGATATCGAAATAACACGGGAGGAAGACTTTGCCCGCATCCTGCAGATGGAGGAAGAGTACATTCAGCAGATTTGCGAGGATCTGATGAGAGTCAAGCCGGATCTGGTCATCACAGAAAAAGGAATTTCTGGTAATAACATATGTGATCCTTCTTTGTGTTGAATTCATCTTAATAAGGTTCATGCTGTGTTAAATGCACCTTTCAGTAGCTTTAAAAAAAAAAAAAAAAAAAACCCAAACAAAAAACCCCACCAAAACCAACACAAAACCTGATTTTGAACATGACCCTGGTTTTGTTTGGTTTTTCAGCTTTCTAGCAAATTGTTCCACATCACAGGCATTGAAGTTGGTTCTTGAGGTTGCCTTGTGAACACGGACACTTACAATAATATTTTGCTTTCCCAGCATTTGGAAACGATATCAAAATACAAGCGAGGATGAGTCTAGCAAACCATCTGTAATAACCAAAAAATTTTGCCTTGCAGCTTGGTTTAAGAAGCTACGTTTAGGTTTTTCTTTCCATAACCCTTTTTACTTTAAGGACATGTAAAGCTTGTCACGATACCACTGATTCATCAATAAAATTGCACAAACCTGATTTCAGACTTGGCCCAACACTACCTGATGAAAGCCAACATCACCGCCATCCGCCGAGTGAGGAAGACGGACAACAACAGGATCGCCAGGTAAATGCAGTCTCCTCGCTGGAGCCTGTTCTTGCGCTCTGTGGCATGGCGTTTTCATTCTTTTCTCGCCCTTTCTCCCCAGTTCTTACTCGTGAGCGTCTGACTTGAGTGCTGTTTGTGTGCTAGGGCCTGCGGAGCTCGCATCGTGAGTCGCACAGATGAGCTGCGGGAGGAGGATGTGGGAACTGGAGCCAGGCTCTTTGAAGTTAAAAAAATAGGAGACGAGTATTTTGCCTTCATCACCGATTGCAAAGACCCCAAAGCTTGCACTATCATTCTGCGTGGAGCCAGCAAGGAAATCCTAGCAGTAAGTTATTATGTGTTCTGCTTCCCCTCCTGTCCTGGCCACCTTCTTGGTGTCAGTAAATCATCGCTTCCTTTTGAGCAGCTGTTGTGTGTGGATGAAGCAAGCACAAGTTTCCTCTGGGTTCTGGAGCACCAAAAGAATTCCCCTCTCGTGGGCTGTGGTGTACAGTGAAAGCAAAACTCGTATCCTGCAGAGGAACCAGCCCCGCTGGGCTGTACTTTGGCTGCTGGGGTGCTACAGTTCCCTGCAACCGATTAAATCTGTGCTTTTATGCCTGTTGCAGGAGGTAGAACGCAACCTTCAGGATGCCATGCAGGTGTGTCGCAACGTCCTCATCGACCCGCAGCTGGTGCCAGGCGGGGGAGCTACCGAAATGGCCGTTTCCCACGTGCTGACAGAGAAGTCCAAAGGCATGACGGGCGTGGAGCAGTGGCCCTACCGTGCAGTAGCCCAGGCTCTGGAAGTCATTCCCCGAACGTTGATCCAGAACTGTGGCGCTAGTACCATCCGTGTGCTGACCTCGCTCAGGGTAAGGATCCGTGCTTTGGATTGTCCGAAGCGATCCGGCCCCTTCGTGCGGTGTCCTGCCCCACAGATCATAGAATCATGGAATGCTTTGGGAAGGGACCTCTAGATCTCACCCAGCCCCACCCCTGCAGTGCCAGGGACAGCTTTAACCAGAGCAGGGTGCTCAGAGCCCCGTCCAACCTGGCCTGGGATGTTTCCAGGGATGGGGCCTCCACCGCCTCTCTGGGCAACCCCTTCCAGTGCTTCACCACCCTCATTGTAAAAAATTTCTTCCTTATATCCAGTCTAAATCTATTCTTCTTTAGTTTAAAACCATTACTCCTTTAGATCAGTCACTACTCCATTAGATCAGTCCTCCTTCCGTGGTGGTGCCCTCGGGGCAGCTTGTCCGGCCTCTGAGGGCGCAGCTTTTCAGCGGTTGCATTAGGCTTTTACGTTAAAGGAGACCTGTGTGGAAGGAACCGATCCATTGAAGGTGATCGAAAGACCGTTGTTGGTTTTTTGGCGTTAGCTGGGCTGCAGACATTTTTACTGAAGTTTTGTGCCAAATTCGAAAGCATGAAGATGGAATTCAAGAGCTTTGTTGAGGTACCAGAGGTTAAAAACAAAACAACAAAACCCTGAGGGCGAACAAAACTAAAATCTTCCTTTGCGATTCGATGGGATGGCACGAGAGAGAATATCTCCAGGTCTAACGTTTGATATAATTGTGTGTTTCAAGTGGTGCTCAGTAACGTGCTCTTGCATAAACTCCAAAATTGAGAAAATTCTAATGACCTTTCACCATTTCCCTGACTCCATGCTCGGTTTGAGTTTCTGGAAGGTGAATTTGCTGTCTTCCTCCGTCGGTGCTGACCTGTCGTTTTGCTTACAGGCAAAACACACTCAAGAAGGCAGCCAGACGTGGGGAGTGAACGGAGAGACCGGAGCCTTAGTTGATATGAAGGACCTGGGGATCTGGGAGCCTTTAGCTGTCAAACTGCAGACCTACAAAACAGCGGTAGAGGTAAGGAGAGAGGGGGATTAAAACTTAAAAGCCTCTGTGGCGTATCTCCTGGGAGAAGGGAAGGGTACTGCTTGTGCACTTGGATGTTTGGGTAGGCAAAACGCAGCGTGGTGCGTGCCAGCGTTCCAGCTCGCTGACACAGGTGGGGTGGCGATAAGGGACGCAGCACCCGTGGGAGCCCGTACTCGATTTTTTGATCGTACTCGGTTTTTGATCCCGTGGCTAAAATTTGTCGTGTTCCATCCCACCTTTTTCTGCGCACTGTGCAGACTAGTTAGTCTTGAAGGGATGGGGTGCTCTGCGTGACAGCCAGAGCCGTGACTGAGAAATTCAGTGCCAGCGATGTGCCGGAACCCGGTTAGTGGCCCTGGGAGCTTCTGCCCGTCAGCTCATCTGAGCGGCCTTGCGTAAGCTGCCCTCCCCCTGTTAGAAGGTCCCATTTCGAGCATTCGCTCGCTGGTGTTGGATCAAAGGCAGTCGCTTGAAGGGCTGCCGTGTCCCTTCCTTGTCAGTCAGCCAGAAATTGGTGTCCCCTCTCCCACGGGGTGTCCCTGCCAGGTGCCAGAGCCGCTGCCCGCTCCCACCTGCCCGTGGTGGGCACTGTATCCTTTCCACCGTGCCGCGTTGCTGCGTGCTGTGCCGAGAGAATCGTTTAATCCAAGGCAGATGGTTCTTTGATGTGCAAACTGGGTAGGGTGGATTTTGGGTTTTTTTTATTCTTTGTGATGAGCTCCTGACTAGACCTGGGTACGGGGTTTCTCCCCAGACTGCAGTTCTCCTCCTCCGCATCGATGACATTGTTTCGGGCCACAAAAAGAAGGGCGATGATCAAAGCCAGCAGCCCGCTGTGCCGGAGGCAGCCCAGGAATAAGAGGGGTCGAAACGCTGCTGGGAAGAACCAGGCACCTGGGACCCGACTGTGGGAAGAGCGCGATGAGGCGACGCCGTCCCGAGGCTGAGCTGGGGAAAAGTTTGTCTCAAGTCCGTGGGGAGGGATGAGGGGGGAAAAACCCACCACGGTGGGCTCCGGATGGAGATAGCGATGCTTAATTTAAGTCTCTGGACTGTAACTTCTCCTTACTCTTTGCCTCAAAAATAAAACACGTCGTTTCAGTCTCTCTGTGCGTTTTTAGGCAGGAGGGGGATGTAAAAGCTTCCCTGAGGAGCTGGGTGCTGCCGGGGAGCTCTGGGCAGGTTTATAGAATCGTTTAGGTTGGAAAAGCCCTTTAAGATCATCCAGTCCAACCATTAACCTACACTACCCAGTCCACACTAAACCAATTAAGGGTAGACTAGACTAAACCATGTCCCCAAGTGCCACCTCTGCCCATTTTTTGAACACTTCCAGGGCTGGGGACTCCCCCACCTCTCTGGGCAGCCTGTTCCAATACCTGACCACCCTTTCCGTAAAGAAATTTTAACTAATATCCAATCTAAACCTTCCCCCTGTGGAGGGGTGGGGAGACCCCCGCGGCCCCTGACACCATCTTCTCTCCACCCTCACAATCTTTTTGAAGGGCAGCGGTTCCTTTAAGAGTCTCCGGCGCGGCCCCTTTAAGGGCGTGAGGAGGGGCGCGGTCTCGGAACGGGCCCAAGATGGCGGCGGGCGCGATCGTGCTGCTGC